GTATGAGGGGCGAGTAAAGCCCCCCGGCCAATAGGCCCCCCACCTGTCTCTCTCTCTCTCTCTCTCTCGCTCTCTCTCTCTCTCTCTCTCTCTCTCTCTCTCTTTCTTACCCCTACACACACAAAACTGATGTTCGGTGGCCTGAAACCTTCCCTCATGAGCCAAGACATGCTTCAGGATTACATCTCAATGCCGTCACCGCTATCTCATAAACTGAGACCATCTGTCACGTCCCCAACCTAACCAGAGTCGAGCCACATGTATCATCCATGTCCAACCTAGACCTACACATGTCTGCGATCCGAGTATGTGCTACCTTCCCCCTGCCCCATCCCATATCGTCTAAATGCCCGCGGCCCATCAATCAAAATGGAAGTCTTGCATTCTGCATTCTCATCTTATTCGCAGCATAAGGCAAATCATATTTCCCAAACCATATGTGGTTCAGCCTTCCAAATCAGATCTTGCATAGACCCCAAGACCAAAAGCAAAGCTTGTAATCGGGAGCCCCGCCCCCCCGAGGAGTTTATTGTTGCCACCCCTCTTATTATTGTCCAAACCAGGGCTCCAAAGGGATACCCTCGTCGGTTTTGTGAAATGGCTGCGCTTATAGAGAATTTTGTTTCACTGGAAACTTTTTGGGCTCGGCGCCTGTATCGGTTGGGTATTGCGACAAGATCGGAAGTGGGTTTGGGATTTTTCGGCCTCTAGGGAGGTTATGCGTCACCATGTGTTTTTCCCTTTTCGCTTGTTTGCCTTGATATTGCAGTACAACAACCTCAACAACCATCTGCGAACTTGCTGTGGCCAGTGCTACCATGACCGGACCATTAAAGTCTGTTTGCAGTTTTAGCGGTGAGAAAAGGCTAAAAACTGAGAACAAAGCCGAAACGCAAACAGCAAAGAAGAGCAGCTGATCGAACTACGAATAATGCCAAACAAAGGTCTCCCGACAAATTCTCGACACGTCAGGAACAGTCCACTGACTGCACGGCTCCTCCGAATCATGTGCATGTCAAAGCAACAAGGGAGCATGGCAAAGAGGTACGACACAGAGTTGTAAACCTCGCCAACTTGCGAAGCTCTTGTGCTCCAATATATCACTGTGACGAAATACTCCCACAAAATCACCGCCGCCAGGATCGTCTCCACGAAAAGCGGTGCCAGTGTTATCTTTCCCTCCGGGTTGGCAGTGCGAAAGGCCGCAAGCTCAAAGACGCACCATAGTCTCCTTCACTGCACTTGCGATTGCGATTGACAGCGATACACAAGTGCAGAAACGGTTTCAGCAGTTTCCATCTCTTGCACACCATCCTGCTCATGAGCCGGGGCCCGGCTCTAACCTTTGGAAACCTCAACTCGGAAGTCCCATGTTTGACAAAAAGGAGTCTGGGTTTTTTAGGCTTCTGGTTGCACAGGCGGAATCTGAAACATGCAATTACTGTTCAGTGATGCTCCACGGGCTGTTGTAAAGATGGTCGCTGCGTGTGAGCGTGTGATTTAGACTTCGGTTTAGCACCGGGCCCTCAGAAGTCACTTGTAGAACTCCAGGCATTGGGGGCCTGGGTTCCGAGAAAACACCACTTCCTACAAGAATCACAGTCGTCATGACAGCCCCGACCTTGTCAACATCATCGTCTGTGCTTGACGTTTGCATCATCACATGGTTACTCTCGCCGTCCTTATCCAAATCAGTTACCAGCCTCGACAACCACCTGTTGCACCGCCAACCAGCATCATCCTCAGCAGCATCATCACGGTCGAAGCTTGATCGGCAACCATCACCACCACCAATCGTCGTCAACAGTAGCAACTAGCCTCACCGAGATGAGGCCAAGATGTACGCACATAAAGCTGCACCGACCACTGCCGCAGCCACAACAAAACGAAGACCATTGTCGGAACAGACTGCCCTCAAAATCTTTAGGTTAGGTGTCGTCCAAGCTTCGACAAGTAGGGCGTCGACCACAATACCCGAAGCTCGCGAGAGATGCGGAGGAATCCGCCAATGCCGTATACTCCCCTTTCCATCAAGCGCTGATCCTTGCACAAGGTTCGGTGCGCTCTTGCGCATGCTCAGGTTTCGGATTACAGGATACCGACGCCAGGTTTCACATCGACCCAAGGCAATCATGGCAAGAGGATAGTTCGGCACTGCGTTCTCTTACTGTACACAGCAAACTGCAGTCGAAAACTTAAAATCGAAAGTCCCCAACTTTCCTTGGCATTGCAGCTGTATACATTGTCCGAGTTCAGGGACGTTGCTATTGCTTCGTTGTCTTTGGGCCAGCATTGCAAGGCTTGAAGTGTTGTCAAAAGTCTTGCACCACCTTCCCAATCAGCTGTGTCTCGCCAGTAAACTTGGCTAGGGGGGTTGGGGGAATGTTAAGTACGGTGTAGCAAGCACAAAGTTTATGCAGCATTATGGATGTCTTCGGGAAAAGCTGGCCGCGACTTCCAATGAAATCGCACGACTAAGCGCTCTCAAGCTTTGCAAGCTTGCATCGCACAACTGGACATGATAATCTGCTGGCCATTGGATAGAGTGTTGCAGGAGGTAGTCGCTGGGCCGGACTGGATACATCAGGCCACTCCAGGTGCCAGTGATATAATATTCAAGGCTCTCTCGCGGTTCTTCTGCTTGTGGCTGCTTTGCTGGATAATACGCAAAATTTTGTCACCGAAGGTGGAGCACTGCTTCTTGTTAGCTTGGTTTGTCTGATACATTGCGACCACTGAGGTCTCACCATGGGTCACTTCGGGGTTTATATCTATATCACGGCCGTGGCATTCCCTCAGTTCCCTTTGATCTTGAACGCGGTGGCGCATGTTCACCACCAAAGTGTGTTTACTATCTTCGTGGCGGGATTTTCCGAGTGCATCCTTTAATCCATCTTGTCTCTTTGCTCCTGCTTGTGGCGCTTGTTTATTTCTAGCTGGCAATCGAAGTCTTCTGAGACCGGAGATTGCGCCTTTTGTTAGACATGAGCCCTGATAAATCCAACCCATTTCGCTCAGTGCCTTGCATGAAGGCACAGGCATCGGCATCGCGAGTGTTTACATGGTGAACTTCGTTCTGCTTTCATCCTGAGTTATGAACCGTGCACGAACGAACGAAAGTGAACCGGGGGGGCCCAAACTGAGCGTGATGTGTACAGAAAGCCAGCCAGTTGGTGCTCTCCGGCCCACGGAAACGGTCCCTCTCGCCTTCTTTGCCCCTCCGCATACGTCATCGGGATGCGGTGCAGAGTTCAACCCTCCGTTCCCCTTAATCCGAGTCGAATGTGCCACCCGAACCTCCATGGGCCTGCACCCCAAGCCGGGGTTCACCATGCCTTCGTCGGGTCCACCAACAAACTCTGTGCCACATAGGTGCAGCGACGTGAGTACAAATGTCCCCTGGAGCTTCTTCCTGTCCCGAAAAACCTTCCCCAATTCGCAAGCCTCATCGCGGTGAAGCTTGACCACGACGTTGTGGTGTCCCCCCAGTTCAACATCGCAACAGAAGACACTCCTTCAGTGGGACTTCACGCAGGCAAAGGCATGTTCTTGCTAGAGATTTGCTGTTGCTGTGTTGCAGCAGTTGTCCTTGTCTGTATTTTTCAGGGATTTAGCGGGTCTTTTCTGTTCTTGTGACGGGCCTATGGAGAGTTGGGTAGGTTTGGGTGCATTCAGCTACGACACAAGTCAAGCTCTGTGTGCGTGCGTGGGCTGTGACGTACGGTGCCCACCAGTGATCACCAGTGAACGACACAGCACGGCAGCATTCTTCTACTTTAAGCCCTTCCGTCCATGCGCTCTGTTTGAGGGGGGGCGAGCTAGAATCTAGACATTCGTAGTTAAGAAGATCTTCATCTACTTACACACATACGTTTGTTTCTTTTTGCATCTGGATTTGTGCACCAGCCAGGGCGTGGTCTGTGCGGTTGGCTTCTTTTCAATTTTCGTCACAGATCTTTGAAACCTACTTTCCGTGCCGTCCAAAAGAAGCACGAAAACAAACATGCCACCGTGACCCTAGGCTGTGGCGACCCTGAATTGTGACCAAGGCTCCGTCTGATGGATGCTAGCTACATCCAAAAAGCAGGTGTCACGCGGCCGCGGCATACTGGGGAGGTACGGTGATGCTATGAAGCCAGCAAAGGTGGCAACAAAACTTGCAAGTTCTATCCATGGTCCTACGGGACACATGGCCTTGAATTCCATTGCATGGGCCTCGATCCGCCAAGGTGCAGGCAGAACTCCAAGAATTGTGAGCGATAACACTGCAATCACTGTAGTGAACCAGATCACAAGTACTTTCTGCGAGCCTGAATGAAACAACAGCGACAGGAGCTTCCACTTCCCGGAAGTCTTCCAGGTGTGGGAAATGAACATGTCGAAATGTTGCACCGGCCGTGATCGGCTCCAAAGTTCTGCACGGGACTTGTCGCTCAAATCGCCAGGAGCAGTCAGCCACAGCCGCCCACCCTGCCTGAGAGACTCTCGCAAAGAGAGGCCTCGAGCGATCTCGGTGTCCACTTCCAGATGCCCAAGCATCGCTAAGCGCTGGAACTTGTCTGGGATTCTCTTTTGGCTTTCTGGGCCACTTTCCCGCTGCTCGTCTCCTGGGCCTTGTTCCTCTGCAGCAGGCCGGACATCCACGAAGGACAACTCGGAAGCCAGACCGCTGCCTTTGGATTGCGGTGCTTCATCACGCGCACTTTGCAGATGGCTCGCGTTCTGTCCCATGGCTCATTGCTGTCGGGCTGCTTCCATTCACTAGATTTGCTCGAGCAAGCAATGGCTGCACCCAGGATTCGTGTACAGGGTTTTAGGCGCGGCCTTGGGGAACAGTGGAGGGTTCAGGCTTAATTAGGGCTTGTTGCGGCCGAGGAACAGACTTCGTAGCGAAACCCGGAGGCAGATTACCTGTAGCCCCCAATGGCACCTGGATTTAACGCTACCTTGCCGTAACATCCAATGTCAAGGTTATGACAGTAGTCAAATTCAGCCAGTGTTACTGGCGTATTTCTCTCCCGGCTGAATTGTATCGAAGCCCACAGCCCCAGAGTTAAGTGTGGGGCGTGGCTCAAGATTGGAGCGGCGCAGTGTGGACTTAGCCAGCCACGATCAGGCTCCATGGACGGACGGATGCTTGAATTCTTGGGTCCTGCTGCACATGGGGCAGCTTTCCAAAACACCTATGCGGCTTCCTCTGGTCCGGCACTGCCATAAAGCACAAGATGACTAGTCATTTGCCGAACTGGGACTCTTAAATAAAGGTGAACTGAGAGCTGCAGGGTCAGTGAGATGACCGCTGCGCACTGTACAGCTCTGTTTAAGCGTTCTGCACTCAAGCAGTTCTGTACGATCTTGGAGTCTATACATACAGGCTGAAGATCACGGCCCCGAGCCCGAAACTGTCAGTTCCGAAACCCTTGCATAGTCCTTCGCCGTTGACCAAGACCCCCAAATGCCTTTAAAAGAATAACACCAAGCCCCTAGAAAATCTTAAGCATCCTTGAGCCAAAGCCGAGGGGACCCGAGGCCGGGGATCCTCAGAGCCGCCAACTCATCCTCGCTAGCCTCGAGGAGAGGCAGCTGCTGAGAAGGCCGAAGAGAAGGAAGGCCAGAGAGGCCTTCAGACTGCACCTGGAGGGGGGGGGGGGGCGTCTGCGCTTCTCTGGCTTCGATTCTGTCGTCGGAGCGGAGGTGCTGCGTGTTAAGATGAAGGCTACTTGTGTCTCACGGCTTGAGGTTGGAAAAACCAGTTTCTGGGAATGGCGGGAGCTTTTCGTGAATGAGGGTGGGAAAATATGGGAGAAGACGATCGAGTCATGCTCCAAACCAAAAGCTGTATAGCTTCTCGGCAATGCATCGGCATGCCTGCAGTGACACAGCACAGAAAGCTTGAGCTCAAATCAAAACGGGTGACTTTGACTTTGGCATCCTGCAAACCACGTCCAAAAGCCCGCAACATCGGCTTGAGGGAAAGCTGATACATTCCCTGACTTCAGAAGATGCTGAGCCTAATCTACATTCACTCGAGACAGACAGGAACTAGTACAATGCACTAGCAAGGCGACACAATATTTCCACCCTTCCAACCACGGTTTGAAGGGCGACCCAGGTGGCTTCAGGAAGGATTCCCCACAGCGTCTGTGCTGACAGCTGTATAATCCCTACTCCATGTCCTCCCAACTCCGCCCGAAGCCCCACATGCTAAAACCTGACCTAACCTTGCTGAGAAGGGGCGATTTTGCGGCGCGGGACAGCACCGTGGCAGCGAAGACAAATGCCGCAAAGATAAGAAAGACCAGCAGCCTAGGCACAAGTTCAGGTTCAGCCGAGCGTCTGGGCTTGACCTTTAAACTCTGGAATTTAGCGCTTGCGTCCGCGGGGTTGAGGGCAAAGAACTCTAGGTCTGTGCTGCAGGGATGGCAGTTGGCAGCATTCCAAATCTACAATGTTGGGCTGAGACCCACATTAAGATTTTGTCGAGAGAAAGAAAATTCAAACACAAGATGAATGATTTCAGGCTGGGCTGAATGAAGTCCATCAAAACAGCAGTTTGCGATGTCGGTTTAAGGACTGCAATGAACCGTGCAAAAAGGCATGGCCTGGCCATATCGAAATGCTGGACCTACAGGGTTCCTCTGGATCAATGAATTCCACCATTTGGCTTCAGATTTTCCTAGATTAGGAGCTCGGGCTCCTTCGTTGAATTGGATTTGGCCAGAGGGCTAAATTGCGGCTTCCGAAGGCAAGAGTCCACACATCCATACGGTTCAGGATTTTGGTGCTCACACTGCTGTCTGTGCGCAGTAAACAATCAGAAAGCTCGCAAAGAGCTTTAGTCCGCCACTGCCACTGCCACTACCACTACCACTACACTATTACTACTACTACTACTAC